TTCCTGCTGCCAAAAGTAATCCTTTTCACTACTAAGTCCTTTCAACAAAAGTTTTTTACTAAATCCTTTTACATCTTCTGTTATGTAAAGGAGGATGCTGGAAATGCACTTCACAAAGGAATAAGCCCTAGGAAGCCCATCTGTGATTACATAAATGATTGCAAAAGCTCCTTCGTTAATGAAGGGAAAATTTCCTCTTCCTGTCCTGCAGCAGCAGCACAAGGGATATGAGGACCAGAGTTAGGAAGAGGACAGAACTTCCAGACAAACTCAGACATAGCCCAAATCATGCCATGGGTTTCCTTTTAAGCTGTTTCAGTTGATGTTTGCCCTTAAAAACAATGCTTATAGTGAGCATCTTACCTTGTCTTGGGATTTCACCTCTCTGTATCTTCCAACACACAGTTTCAGCTACTTACATAATGCCTGACCAATCTAGCTATCTTTTTTAAGAGTTGTGACCTGTCATGAGGATCACATATGCTTTATGAAATGAGAGACTTCTCAAAAACTCTTCTGACTCCTCATCACTAAATAACCCTTAGTGTCTTGCACACAATAGTATATAGCATTACATCAATTTCCTATGTCCCTATCATATTTCTTACCTTCTTATCTGCCACTCAAGACCTGCAAGGTTTATGAGTATTTTTTTATTACATATACTAAATAAATTGAAAAGCATCTGCATATGAAATGTTCTGTCAGTAATCCTGCTTTGTGTTACAGAGCAGTAAAAGTGTGCAGTAAATTTATAAAACAGACCATGACAACAAAATGCAGATTAAAAAGCTGAATGTCTTTGTCTGGAGATGGCTTAAGATGTTGCTGCTTGCCAAATGCAGTTGGTGTCCAATTTACAGGTAATTGCACATAAAGCAAGATTAATGGGCATGCAGATGTCAACACTGATTCCACATTATAATGTGGAAGCACCACATAATTATTCATTGATTCCAAAGCTGTCAACCTCTGCACAAAACTGCAGTGACTAATAACCAATTTAGATTGTTTGTTTTACTTAAAACATATAAAAAGCAAATCTTCAAATCTTGATCTATGCAAGATGTTGCCCCATTAAAAATTTCTGAATTGTTTTACTGAATTATTTTAGTTGCTTTATGGTATTCTTGACTGTTGCTTCATTGTTAACAATTCTATCCAAGCCACTTTCTTTTAAGCAGTTACCTGGTTCGGGTTGGAAGGGACCTTAATGATCATGTACTTACAACCCCCTGCTGTGGGCAGGAACACCTCTCACTAGAACTGGTTTCTCAAAGCCCCATCCAACCTGGCCTTGAACATTTGAAGGGAGGGGGCATCTACAACTTCCCTGGGCAAACTGTTCCAGTGTCTCATCAACCTCACTCTAAAAATCAGACTTAAATGAAATGAAATCAGACTTAAAACTTTTCTTGTAGCAATTTCTTGTAGGTGTATCCCAGATCATTATTTATTTTAGTTTCCTATTTGGGCAGGATTTTATTTTCCTGTTCATGACTCTATAAAAGCCATAATACATTTATCAATAAAAACTCACTGTTCAAGAGGATATACAGAGATGAACGCAGAATTTCAAAATATATCTCCTTTTTTCTTTTTTTTTTTTTTCCCTCAGGTATTTTATGTAGCATTTTAGCATTAACTACAGAACAAGAGAGAATTAGGCCTTTCTGAAAAGAAGGGCAATCCCACTGAAGTTTAGGTTTGGATGCTAACCCAGCAACATGGTGAATCCTAACCTTAAGTTTAATTCCTCACTGCACACCAGGACATGGGATCCCACAGCACAGTGATCCTTTCATCTAGCAGGCATGGGCACAATGACATTTACTTCATTGCAGAGTGTCAGTAAATTGGAACTTGCATGCATTTGGGTTTAGGAATTCAGCTGATAAAGGTGGATTCAGATTCCCACCTGAACCATTTTCTCAACTGTATTTGTGTGGCTTCAAAAGGTTTTGTTAAAGAAAATTACTGTAGCTATACCATCTGGTGCTGTGACCACATCTGCATTTTTGACAGAGTTTCCTTTAATGTTATGACCTCTTCTTTTTATTTTTCTTTTTTTTCTTTTTCTTTTTTTCTCTCTCCCAGCTGCAAATAACGTTTGGGATTTTCTTAAACCAGACCATGAACGTTTCCTTTTCAGTCTCCAGGCAAATTAAAGACGCAAGGAGAATTGGTTAGGTAATGGCTATGGTTTTTCATGACTGGAGCCGATAGATGTGACGCGCTGCTAAGGGAGCACTGCTGGCACTTCTGCAATCCCCTCTTTAGCACAAGACTGTAGCCTAAGGTCACTTAGGATTCAGCAGTCACAGTAAGCAGCTGAAATACCATCTTAGAATAAGCAAATTATTTAGGAATCAAGCAAGAATCACTTTCTTGCAACAACACAGCTATAATATATGATAATGATGATGGTGATACATTACAGCTTTTAAGTTTCCATTCTAACTTTTTTCATTTAATGTATTTATAAACTCATCATTAAAATTAATTAAACCGGGATCTCAAACAAAGCATTTATCAAAGAAAAACTTCAACTGGATTATCCTCTAATCCTTGGATACAAGAAAGTCAAAGTAATATTTTTAATGCTAGTTTTTTCTCTTTCTTCCAA